GTCATCGATGTGCATATACCAGAACGCGACCGGCTAGCAAATATTCTTTGCCATCAGCAGGATGGTCTCACAGAGGATCAGGTTCTCGAACAAAGGATCGAAGCTATCCAGCTCATGGTGTCTCTGTGTGACAAACGCGAGACGGTCAAGCGTCATCGCGTCCAGCAAAATGTCAGGGCTCAACCGCACATCAAAACTGAACCTAGCGAAGCGGGCAGTGAGCCTGAGCCTAGCCCCAATCAATTTCCTCTCCTCATGCAGCCTGGACAATGCCCGGACTGCATCGGCGATGAGCGGCTCTCCCTCGGGGAGCGTGCTTTTTCGTACTGTCGTCCGACCGTCAGGAACGACCACTTTGATGACCAGCACTTGATAGATCGCGAGAGGGCACTGCAACGTGGTGAGAAGATGGTGTGTACACACCCTGCTTGTCGCACCCAAAACCGAGGACAGAATCTCGAATTCCATAATATGGACCATTTTAGGGCCCATGTGCAGACAGTTCATCGGGTAACGCTGCGATCATTGTGCCAAGTGGAGCAAAGACGATTGCGCAAGTTGAGGCGTCGAAAGATGGTTAAAGGATGAGCATGACAAGTTGGGAGCAATAGATACAGTCAATCACAGTGAAAAATAGTTCATTAGGGTAGCTCAATTCAATTTGGTTGAACTAAGATGGCTCGATCGACTACCGCATACAACTCTTGCGCAAGGCTCAAACCTGATTGTTGACATAATCCAGTACAGCGTCATTTTGTCTCAGTATTCCGCATGATCAATATTGCATAAACCTAGGTGACAGATAGAATCGCACTGGATCCATTTGACTAGATCGCACTGGTTTCTTCGTTATCGCGCGATATCATCGTGCGAATGATGATGCGGCCCTCTGCTCGATCTTCTTCTTTAAAGATGCTCAAACCGTGAACCTGAAGGAACTTGAACTCGTCCCCATAGTGCTTCTTCACCCATACATCCTCAGTCGCTTTCAGAGGCCCATCAGCTATGCCTTTATCCTGCAACAGAAGTTGAACATTATCATGCTTCTTTCTTTCGCTGTCCGGCCATTCCGCCCGAAGTAGGTATTTCGTGGATGGATCCAAAGGTGGAGGGCCAACCTTGGGTCCAACCGGGGGTCCGCTAAGACGAACTTGGAAAAACGGTACGGCTTGGGTCGCCGGCTTAAAATAGGCTATAAGGTGGCCATCAGAGAGCCTGCGGATGGAACCAGAGGAGATTTTGGAAAACGAAGTGAAGATTTTGTAGTCATTTAGAACGGGCGATCCGATGATGTTGCAGATGATGCTAGGGGCGTGCAGTACGTTCTTCAAACGGAGGGTGCCATGGGAGCGTGGACCGTTTCGGTTTGAGGACGTCTTCGTGGGAAGGTCGACCGTACCTATGCCGATAACCTCAATCGGGGTTCCAGTCGCGCTGTTAATAGCAGAATTGAGGGAAACGTAATCGTCACCGAACCAAGAACGGTCTTTAGCGACGCTGGTTTTGTTAGGAGGTCGATATTGTATCGCCAGTCTCGGAGCCGGCTGGAAGGGAAATACGCACTGAACATTGGAATTGTTGGACCAAACCCAAGTGGGGCAAGGCAGGATATCCTGATGTGTTCTCTGCAACGATGCCATCGTGAGGATCATCTAAATTTCTTTGAAAGTCTGCACTATGGAGCCTCGGGACTTGCTTTAATTTGGGACTTGAGCGGCAGGGTGTTATCGATAAAGGACTTCACGCATTAATAGTGGTACCATTGCTTTAGGCTGACCGAACAGCAAAGCCCCGCATTGGGCCATCCTCTCACAACACGGCCTCACGTCCAGCCTTTGATGTGCACCGAGGTTACATGGTCAATGTGCCGGCACATCGTTGATGCGGTCTGGAGTTGTTGGCAAGAATGGGATCAGCAAAACAGACTCTAGCCACAAGCAATGGTTTATATGCCTCTAGAGGAGTGTCCAATACGTTCGAGACATTGACGACACGAATGAGGATGTTCTCGGCTCTCGCCAAAGGCGCCATGACGTTCTATCCTGGAATTGCAAGCACGGGGCCGTCTTTGCCATACGTCACTGTGGTTACAGGTCATATCACGATGACCGGCAATTCTGAATGTAAACTCAATCGGTGCTCCTCGGCCTATGATAGGTCAAATTAAGCGATCAAATCACAATGCTCAATTTTGCTCGTCACAGTTGCAAAGCGATATGAAAAGCTTAGCTCAGTCGGCTCCCGGCAATTTACAAGGTCCTGAACTCGAAACGTATCGCCCACATGTCTCTTTCGAAAGAATCAACTTACAAGTATGCATGTTCCGAATGTCGCCGTCGGAAACAAAAGGTGAGCTTGACAGCAGACCTGAACTCTTATGTCTGGCCTCTAAATTATGTTAGTGCGACCGGGACTGGCCTTGCGCAAGCTGTACGAAACGTAACGTTTCTATGCTCTGCAAATACACCTCAGATCTACATAGCAAGTCAGAAGTCACAACGGAGAAAGGCTATCGTTGTAACAGCTTGATCGCGGCACAAGATATAGAGAACCTTCGGGCCTGTGGATTAGGTCCCTCATATCTCCGGCAGCTGGGACACAAGATCGAAGTAAGCCCACCCAGCAAGCTTGAGTTGGAGGTGAATTGACAGGCCTTCTAGTCGATTCGAAGGCTGCATTTGATCTCCTTGAGTTCGCCTCACCCGCTGAGTGCCCTAATTCCAACAATATCTAAGAATGATGCTGGTAGGGTGACCTGTGCTTTTTAGAGCTAGTAGCTGATCTTTGGCACGAGATGTTCTGGTGCAGGTGTTCACTAAAAAGGTCCACATTCACTGTGACATCGTCCCCCTAACTTCGTTTGTCAAGCAATACTCAGACTGGTGGGCTGCACGCTTGACCAGAGGTACAATTGACCTGCACTGGACTTGTCTCTTATTGGAGATTTTGGCCTGTGCAACACAGCAGGCATTACCTTTAGAGCAGGGGTCACCTGGAAAACGATATCACAATGCAGCTGAATCATTGTATGGTGCGATGTACGATAAAGCATCGATTTTTGGTTTGCAGCGAATGATGTATGCCTGCTTCTGGCATAGATGTGAAGGGCACCTGACCTCGTGTCGGACAGTGCTAAGCTCTGCTTGGTTAATGGCCGTTCAGCTAGGTTAGCATGGCCAATCTCACGCAAGTTGGGTCGCTAAATTGATACGTACTAATCAGGAATTCATCAAGAACCAGCTGGTTCAGGAATCGACGCCGAAATCGACATGAAAAGGAAAATATGGCTGTATATGGCAGAGTGGGATCTGTGAGTTCAAGCACTGCCAGGTTCTCGCTACAAGCTAATAAAGGGTCCAGGGAGATCGCAATTCTTCTGTCTCAACCGAGAGTTATAGATCGAACCTGCTGTTCCGTGAGGCGTCCATATGTATGGCAAAATTTAACTCTCCAGCGAGTCGTGGCTCACGTTGAACTTTTCAAACTCGTGTTTGAACGTCGAGATGACAGCCGGTCGTGGCTAGAGAATGGAATTCGAGTGTGGGAACAAGGGCTGCCATATGATCTCAAATATTCAACTGAGAAACTCCAATCAGATGTACCAGAAGAAAAATTCCACCGGATGTATACTCTTGTTGCCAAGGTCACTGCGCATATCAGTACATTGATACCCAGGCCTGGAATGACCTTTATCAAACCAGAGGATAGGAGTGCTGTGACCGGCCATTGCTTATCGCTGGTGGAATACTTACGGGACTTGATTGAGCTGTTGCGGGTACAGGAGATCAGAATGTTGTTTCTCTCTTACTATATTTTCACATCAATTGCAATATTGTGCCAAGCACACCGCTTGGCGCCCGACAGCCAGCTGACGGAGGTGGTCATTGAGAAAGCTCAGTGGGCGTACGACTATTTGCTCAAGTCTGAGGCTACTTCCAACTTGGCAATGGCACTCATACCGGTGCTACCTGAGAACGTCGAGTGCTCACAGAGTCGGGCAAGCCCTATTGAAGATTCTGAAGTAGAACCTTCCAACGAAAGCGTGGAAATGACGGCAACAATCCCCAGTATGAACACTGAGAGTTTCTTTGATACCTTACGTTCGGAAGAGCTTGATGAATTGGTGGGTGAATGGCAACAGGGAGTCCTTAGCTCTAATGAGGGCGCATCAAGAAACCCGTAGTGAAGCTTGCGCTCTCTACGAACCATGGCCGAGTCGCCATACTTTTCAGAGAGTACCAGCTCAAGAGAAGTCATAGTCGGAGCTTACGGTCTCGAGAAGGGGAGAACCGATAGTGCAGGTGATCAATGGATGAAGGCTGAAGAAGCATTGACAGAAAGGATTACATGAACGACCTAGGAAGCAAACTGCGGATATTTGATATTTTATATGTAGACTTATGACTGGCCTCTGTGTTGGAAGTGTAAGAGACAAATTGTAGTTACTTGATGCTGACTGGTGAAAAGTGAACGAATAAACAAAATTTCACCAGTCATTCTGACAATTCTCTGCTGATGCCTAGAAATTTACTAGTCATTGAACTTTTTGTCACGAGGAAGCTTACTGGTCATGTAAGCAACCGTACAGGGCGCTTACTTGACAAGGATTGCTAGTAACACCTCAGCAGTGGGAGGCCCAAAAGAAGCTCATGAGACATATCAAAGTAATTGCAGAGCAGCTTATCAACCGGATAGCACAGATAAATAGTTGATTATCCTTATAAGCTTCCCGCTGCTAGTAGTAAAGTCAGGTTACCGATTATCCTGCCACTTCTTTGGATACATAGATGACCGTTCACCGAAGCCAACACAATGGCTGGCTACTAGTAGAGGAGGTGTAATGAAATAAGGAGTACTACCTTGTAATGTGAAAGGGTTACAGGATTATTCATGCCAGGCGTACATTCGCTACTAGCAGCTCTTGAGTCATATGCCAAGGATGACAGCTGACGGAAGTTGCCTTATGCTGTGCGGTTCTACTACTAGTAGAGAACATAGAGAGGCTTACATGATTACGTGCCTCTCTGCTGTGCGGTTACTAAGGCTTATATGATTACTTACCTCTCTACAAGTAGAGAAGCTTACACAGCTACTTACTTCTCGGCCGCAAGTAGGCGTATGTATGAACTAAACTTTTGTCTACTCGTAGAGGGGTCAGATTGATTATCTCCGTAGGCCGTAAGCAATCCTCTACTAGTAGCTGGAAGACCAGGAATGCTTCATTATCCTTATAATCTTCCCTCTACTAGCAGAAGCAGATTACCTATTACCCTACAACCCGTTTCAGGAACTAAGATAAAGGCTTATGATGATCAGCACATTAGCTAGCTACTAGTAGTTGATGTGTAACGTAATAAAGCAGCCAGCATTACTATTCAGCTACTAGTAGGGTAAGCTTGCTTCTATCTACTAGTAAAGAAGGTAGATTGATTATCTCCATAAGCGAATCAGCCTAGGCCTACTACTAGTCAATGGAAGCTTATGGGTGCTGTGAGGGGATAATCAGAATGGATTATGGCGCAACGAGTTAGGCTTTTCTTTACTAATAGCGGAGGCGTGACCGAGGTAATCAATATAGTAAGCAGCTTTGAGTGATTCCTTTGTAGCGCGGAAGGCTTACAGTATTAGTAACCCCTAATCAAAATCATTACATAAGAACTACTTCATCCTCTTCGCTGACTTGGTTTGTGGCCAGCAGCTACTTTCAAACCATCTACGATCGGACATATGTAACGATGATTGCAACAGATGCCGCAACAACTTGCGCAAATGCAAAAGCAGTCCCCCAATCTCCCTCTACCCCCCTCCAGAGTACTAGGCTAAGCCAAATAGAGGCAATTCCAAACCAAGCACACGAGACTCTGAACGGCAATTCTATACGCATTCGGTCGGTCTGCCATCCCAAAATGAAATGTAGGCCTCTCATCCAAGTTATTCCCTGGAACTTTTGATACGGAAGAGGCATTGCAGCTTGGCTCGGACCCCTAAGGAAGTCAGACTATATTTTTTCGAAGGGGAAAGGATGAAATAAGACGCTATACATACTTGATGTCGTAGATGCAGCTCTCTTGCGCTAAACCTTCTAGTGTATACAGTCCATTGGCTCTTGCTGGGTCTTGGGCACATTCCTTCAGATGGGAGACGAACAGAAGCCGCTTACGACGCTGCTCTGCCTCCTCTGCTTCAACCTTGATACAAGGCTGGGACCATTCCTCCATACCAATCAGACATTGTTCACTATGCTGATATTCGCATGTATCGTTGAAATCGAGGTATGGACCGGTCGGAAGCTTGGCTATTGTCCTTTCACATTCTTCTGAGACATTCTTGAGGTCGACTGGGTTCATGCGAATGGGGCAACGACCATCTGACTCAACAAAACCGGCAAATTGAAACTATGTTTTTAATATCGTCAAATCTCAGCTCTAACATGATGTATTGAAGCTTACGTTGACCTCCAGCACTTCGGTGATTCCGAAGTAAGGCAACCATCTCTTCCACCAACCCAGATGCTGATAACATGTATCAATTAATCTCCGATAGATTTCGTCATCAGATTCGCAAGCACTGTCCCAAGGCATTGTCGCCTCATATATTGGTTTCGGATTGCTAGTGCAGTCCCAGTCCTTAGTACATCCGATAATGCTCCTGGCCTTTGTCGGTCTTCGGCATGGTACAAGAATAGCGTACTGTCCTTGGTTGTGGCTCTCTAAGCAGAGGAAACAGCCTTGCCCCACGCGATCTCGCAAGTCGGGTATGTCCTTGGATTCCTGTAAGTCGACCTGTCGTTCGACATCTTGCATATTGATCGTAGAAGGCATTTCGAATGAGAGAAACAAGCAGTAAAGTACCAGTTTGTGAGATGGCCCCTTTCTTATAGGGTTTTGACATGAGAATGAGCGTAAGAGGACTCTTATTTGTGATTTACAAACTGATGCCTAGGGCAGTGCATGAATCTGGGTCGTGGCTCGACGTGATTCGATGTGGCTTCGCATGGCTGACACGTCGCATTCTACCAGGTTTTCCCGCATATCCCGCTACGAAACCTGGCCGCCTGGTGAGTTTGTCGCCTTCTCTAACTGGTTACCTTTGTAATTTCAAGCGCCGGTGCTTATGGCAGCCTTCAACCTGCGTCCCTAACTTATTGCAGAGCACTATCTGCTGCTTGGTGCCAGTTCTGGTAGCGAAATCACTCAACCCGGGTTTCGTCAATGTTCTCGTATAAACTTCTTTGGTGATATTTCCTTCAGAAGGGTTATACGAAAGTTTAGAACAGACTCTATTGGCGGTCAATCGTCGGACAAGATTACCCGAAAGCTGAGAGCAGACCCTGTCAGCAATAATTCGCCAGATAGGATTATTCGAAAATTTGGAGCAGACTATGCCAGCGAAAATTCGCCTAAGGCGTTTGCTCGAAATTCTCGGAAAATCCCAGCCAGTGAGTCTTCCTACATTGGGATTCGTCGTCGTTGTCGAGCGGAATTTATTGGCGAAGTTTCGGAGACGATGATTATTCGACGATTTTGGCTAGTCGCGTCCCAATTTTGCCTTGCACGGCCTTGAACTGGGCTTACATAAAGAGCCAAGTTCTTGGGGACTAAAACAGGCCCCCAACCCAGCGAGCCCGTTTCTCCGTCCCAGTTTATGTGCTCTGTCTGGCACGTGTGCCTTTGATCTAGAGGGATACACGCTCACTTCACGGCGCGTCTGGGATGCACCTTTTGTGCCCTCCAAGTCATGGGTACTGTTTCGGGAGCTATGCTATATTTAAGCAGCTAGACTTCAGGCGCTTGCTTATGTAAATGGTGATATGAGGTTCCAATTTGTCGCACCCAACACGAGACCCTTTGGGCCACGGAATTGACCGTCAAACCCGCTGCAACACAATAGGGCCCAATTTTGGGACCTCGCAGTATGCCAGCCCAGGTTATGAGATAATACCTTGCGTCCTGGATCAGTTTTTAGGATAGCACATAATACGATAAGTTTTTGTGGTAGCGGAGGCGTCATGAAGTAGAATGCATCTACGGGCTACCAGTAGAGAAGATAGAAAAGCCTCTGAAGCGTTTGATTATCTATATACCACCATGCTATCTATAAATCCCGATTCCAACTCCCAACAATCTTCTGTAATGTGGCACCAGAGACACTACCGATAATCTGCCTAGACCCGTCCCCAATCGCTATATTTCTTGCCCTGACTAAACCTTTACCTTCCAAGATTATTGTCTGTTGGCTATTGTCACCAACGCTGATATTCTCCATGGCAAATGTCTGAGTAGGGAAGGTCTGTTCGTTGGCTTGGTTAAGCAAGGCACAGTCTATACGCTGCGTTGAGTTGGTTTGAGTGGTACTTGTAAACTCCGAGTCTCCATTGTGCAGAGCATCTTGTTGAGTTGAACTCCATGAGTTATTTCGAGTTCCTCGTATCTGCTCTTGTAGCAGGACAACAGACTCTATTAGCAATTTGGTAGAGTTTTCAAGTGTCAAAAGAGCGGCATTCTGGAGACGGATAAGTTTTCTCAGAGTATCTATCGGTGATTCGCCAGGATCCTAGAAGTCCACCCATTAACCTTCCACTATCGAGTCCGTTATATACTCTACTTACGTATGCTTGCTCACAATCGGGTTTGTCTCCTGACTGATTTATATCTGTGTGAATATTCAACGAGCTTCCTGGTCTGATAGTGATGTTTGGGTTTTTATCAATCATTCTGTTTGCTATAGGTGATGAAGGTGCCTTCAGTTGCCAAGATACAGAGATAGAATGAGCTCTACTGAAGAAGTGCAAGATACTGCGTATTTATCGACCTTCAGCTTCCGCAACGAGCCCTCAAGTCAAGGCATCATGGATTGCTACGATCAGTAATGTTAGCACTAGACTCAATTACTTTTTGGCTATTCTTTTGACTGTGCATGTATGAAGATAGCGCTTGTCGCAACCCATTGCACGAGAGTGTGAAATCTAGAGAAGGAATGCTGATCTTATATTTTTGATTACTTTCCATGACGCCAGTTATACTAAACTGTAATGCCACCATGAAGCGAGACCGTAAAGAGGCAGGCTCAATGAAGAACTAGTATTATTTCCTAGCTACCAAAAATCTATGACGATATGCTCGCCAGCTACTACTTATTCAAGAATAAAGTATGAGTCAGAGCAGAAAACCGGCGGCGCCTTAGTTCGAGGCCATAATCTAGTGTATTTGGAATTCATCGTAAGTGTATTCAAGACCATCCTGCGGTCACTTCAACCCTGCGGCTAATATCGGCAAAACAAAATATTCTTGCGATGCTAGCCGAAGATGAAATTAAGGTCTCTCGGGTTTAACGGCGCCGAAATTCATGGAAATACATGGAAACTCATGGAAACTCATAACCATCGGAGGATTGCATGTACTGACTTACTCATACTGGTAGTAAGATGTACTCGCACAGAGTCTCCTCCGTACCAGGCAATCCTTTGTACCAGGGTAACCATAACAGTACTCCCCCTGATTCCAACCAGTCTAGCCTTATACGGCCCGAGATAGAGCGGTACAAATTTTATACCAGTTGCATTGGAATACTCCATTTCTTCAGACTAGTCCACAAATCAAGATAAACTAGTACATTCTCTATACCAGGCCTGACTAACTACCCGACTAGTCGACTTATACTATTATGCACTTTGACCAGAATGTAAAGGTCTGTGTACCAATTCTATACTACCAGTATATCATCCTAACCGTTCTACCGGGTTTCGCCTGCCGATCCATCCAAACAGGCACGTCGTTACTACCCATTCCTCTGTTAGAACATCTTGAAAGGTCTGCTCTTACTGGTCAACTCCTTGCTTTCAAGGGTTTCGTTCGAAGGCCAAGCGTTAACTCTCTACTGTCAACCTGGATGCAAACTCAATACTTGTGATCTGCGCCATTGTAAATTTTTCCTCTTTCAATCTTTGATCTAACGTATTAGATTTTCGCTCCGCATCACAGTTCAGTCCCAAGCGTTGATCATGACGGACCAGTCCGTCTTCGTGGTACGGAGCACAAGGCTTGGGCCAAGCTACTGAGTTTATCTGCGAAATAATCCCGGTACGTTCCTTATATCAACTATTATACAATTTCGCCCCAGTTCAAGAGCCTGGACATAATTTGCTTCCGAACCCATTTTTCGTAAATGGAGTTTCATCTCTTGTTTTTCAAGTTAGTTTTCTTGAGCTGTTGCATGTTGTCTCGACGGCTAAGACACTAGTAGTACAGCGCTCACTCTTGGTCAGCTCTCCCCGTAACTCAAGATCTACCACCAACCTTAGACACCTACATGAACCCCTGGCATTTGTAATATGAGATGTGACAGCCTGATTTACAAGAACCAAGCCCTTGTCATTCGATAGGGCTTGCAAGGGCTGATATTGCCATCTTGGGAAGGTTATGATATGAACACTAAACTTCAGTTTCTACAGGAACTATATAAGACACAATTATAGAAAGGAGGAAGGAAGAGCAACTTCATAGGGGTAAAGAACGAAAAGATTTTACCGTGATACCTTTCTCACGCCTGTTCTAACGAAAGGATTCTCATCCTGATAGCCTTGTTTACCCATGGTTTCAGGCCAGCTTGTACTTGCATCATTCTTGCAACGCCATGCAGCAGCTGAGCCTAGCAAGCCAACAGGATTATTGAGTTCTTAAGAAGCGGTGTGCTTTATATGCAGTGCAACGATATCAGGCTACAACTTACCCTGCCTCCTCACCTTAACTAGAATGCCTGCAAGTTATTTTTAAACCATGAAAGAGCGGTATTGAGAGGCCAGTGGAATTGAATTAGAAGTGAGAGAGTAGAAGAGCCTCCTGATGGGTATTTAAGACGCTGGTATCGCTCCGAGAATATATGATTTCACATAGTCTTTTTGCGAGAACACAATGTCTTCTGAGAATCCACCTAACCATCAAGGAACGGTCATGAGAGTTGAAGAACGCACTGTCACAACTTGGACGCGAACTTTACGCAGTAAGTGAATAGAAAATGGCCGTATACAGTTTGCTAAAACTTGCGATTAGGGCAAAGAAGTCCAAAAGACTATCACATTGGCAATCTTCAATACCCGAGTTTTGCCTCAAAAGCCCCCAATGATGAGGCTTTCTGCAAACCAGACTTTAGCTCTCAACAAGATGATGAGTTGAGTCTTTACTTTAAACAGTTGCAATCGTTGCTCAAAGATGAAAAGTCGACCTAAGAAGAATGGAGGATATGGAGAGAATTGGTTAGAAGACAGTGCTACAGAAAAATTGTGTTTTGTTTTGTTGTCTCAAAGCTTGAGTGATTTCCTGATAAAAGAAAAGAAAATCATATAAACTCGGACCCGGCTTGGACCCGGCTTCTGGGCGCTTATTAAGCACAATATACGTCAGGCTAAGTCTGAAACTTGCAATGTAGTATGGAGACATCGGCATACCCTTGGCAGAGGTTACAAGTGCGGCTCTGCAATGGGTACCTGCGCTGAAGGCGGGGGTTCCTTCCCCGCACCCCACGATTATCGATTGCGCACTGAAGGTCACGACTTTACGAGTACAGGTGTCCTCAACCAGTCACGTTCCCTGGTTTCCTTGCATACACCAAGTATCTGGATACCTGTTAGTCTACGCCTATGGTTTATAGCGGGAAGGGTCGATCATACGTATACCAGTAACCATGAATCTTGGTACTGCGAAGGTCCCTTCTAACTCCGGCCAGAATGGCATGCACTTCGTCCACAGTCAACCCAAGTTTCGTCAGCAATCCCATTGAGATTCCTTCAAGACTACTGCGGAGCATGGAGCAACTCCAGATTCCTAACTCTCTGTACCGTGAATCCTTGGGCCAGCGGTTCATAGGGATCCTCTTCTTGATCTCCACTATATCGATGAAACCTGCATCCTTAAGCATGGACTTGAATTCAGGAGCAACTGTAATAGAGCGACCAATCTTTTTCGCAGCATCAGTCATAAGCGTGGACCACCGAAGGATCTCGGTGTTGTGAATCGTGCCGTTGTCGCTCGCGAGCGGGTATACATTATCCTGGACCTCAATGTAGCCCCCGGGCTCAAGATTCCTTTATGTAAAGTTATATTAGCACAGATATCCTTATCTTGGCAGAAACTTACTCGAACGCTTTAGCAAAAATATCAGGCCAGCTTTTGAAGCTTGCAATCATACTGCGGATGAATATGAAATCAAACTGATGTTTGAACGTCCAGTCATCCTCCAAGTCGTCTATTTCGAATCTGCAGTTAGGAGGAACCCTAGATTTATGGCGTTCAGTGATGAGACTAGCAGTGTTCCATAGGGAATCATACATGCTGGGTTGAATTGGACTAAGATCCACGCCAAGGACCTCTGCCTCTGGATGCTCATCCGCTGAGCCCATGATCAGTAGTTCGCTCGCGCCGCCTTAGGAAGTTTTATACATACCTACGTCCATGGCCCAGATACCAGTCCCTGTGCCTACATCGAGAATCCTCTTCCAATTTCTTGGAGGAGTTTGGTAGAGCTTACTGTCATTCACCAGCATCCAGATATGGTTAGTCATGTCAATTTGGGGTTAGCAGAGTGGCTTCGACAGAAACGAACTGAGAACTCACCTAACCTCTCTTGTTCATCCTGTGCATATTAGTGGATAGAGTCAACTACCCCCATCGCTGTACCTACGTCGTCGTTCGGAAGCAGATATTCTATCTAAACACCGTGAGCAAGCTAACCTCGAGGAGTGAGACGACAACTTACCTCCGCTTCCAAAGATTGCATACGTTCTACCATTCTCTACTCGATATTGGAATATGCTGGAGGATATCGATTGGGTCGAGGAAGCGTCGTCTATGGCCTGTAACGAGTTTAGTCTGGTTAAGAATGTATAGACAGAAGTATACCTCATCCACACCCGAATCCTCAGCCGTTTGGTCATCAGGCTCCAAAATATCCACCGTCACTGGAGGATCATTTGCCTCAGCCATCTCGAAACAACGCTCGCAGAGAAAATCAATGAAAGTGCGCAAGAAATGTGATAAGAATCCAAGGTGATGCAGGTGGTCTGTGGCCCTTTTCTACCATATCTACCTCTAGTAGGGCCATGCAATATCGGAAATGCTCTTAGCATGGCGTAGATGGATCAAACGAATGTGTGAGCTTATGTCTCAGCTATTGCAGTTGATCTTAGATGGCCTGGGTTGCAGTCGCACTTTTCCTACTATTGTTTACAGCCTAGTATTCAGTTAGCTCAAGACAGGTGATAATCCATGCCGAAGTTAGCATGTCCCTCGTAGGAGTTGTCCGGGATAGATCCCTGCCAACTTCCTTCTCCACCTTTTCTAATCTGAGTGGCACCACCTAAAATTTATTTGAGATTATGCCATTCGCCAGGTTCGATGTCAGATGATACGTTGGGACGCTTACCAGATTTTGCCAAATGGCAGTTTCTTGAACTGCGAAAGCACGAAAACCGCGAACACGTTTCCGCATCTCCGCGCTTTCTATGCATAGAATTCTGTGTCCGCTTGATTTCCATTCACGAAAGAACCCAGAATCTTCCCTCCAACTGGATCCGATCATGTCTTCGCAAGCCTCGAAACCTCAATTCAAGATTGTGGTTGAATTGTCTGAACGCCATCTCGATGTTGCAGAGGCCATCCAGACGCATCCCGATCTCATCAGGGAGGCGTTAATTCAAACTCTCATCTTAGTCCCTCTCGACGATTCCCATTTCGCTCGTATTCAAGTCCAAGAGAACTTCCGACGCTCACTCACTGCCGAAAGAGATCTTACACCGTATCGACTAATATCATCGGTCAAAGCCTGCCAGGAGGGAACAATCGAGGAAGAGTCTTGGGAGAAGCGCTTTTATAATCACGGCGGAACCAAGGCGTTGTCCAGCTTTGCTGCCGCTGTGGCCGATGATAAAAGTGTTGTCTCACGCCTTGAAAAATTGTCCAAGGATGATTTAGACGGTCTCCTCAACTCCATCAACAAAATCCAAAGGCATCGTGATCTGTGTTACCTCACAGATAGAATCGGCAGGCGGAAGCAACAGGCAGCACAATCCAAGCGATCAATTTTACCCCGCCCTCGTCGGCGTGCCAAAAAACCGACACATCCTCCAGCGACATTGTCGAACTCGGGTACCAACATCTCTCAGACTCCAGAGAATAGGGCTCAGTGCGAAATGAATTATTTGGATGGAAATTCACCCAATGTCCACAACTTCCTTGAGAAAAGCGCGAGCGAACAGTTACACCTGGGATCTCAAACTAACACCATGCCGATTGGGATAGATGAGACGATGAGTAGCGCCAACGACAACCTGAGTCAATTCATCGTACCACATTGCTACGGATCGTTAGAAGTAGATGACCTGAGCCAATTCACGATACCACACCTCTTCGGCTATGATCCAGGAACTGAACCATGAGAATTTCCGGAACCAGGCAGCTTCTCGAAACCACCAGGAATTTCGGAATAAAACTCGAATATTGTGGCACTTTGGGACTCTGTAAGTAAGCGTCCTTTCTCAATATGAGTTATTGTCCCCATTAGTAGGGGCTGGCCGCCTACAGAGGGGGGTTTTCCAACTATAGCGATCGGAACAATATGTGTCTTCTTCGATATAGACAAGCTACAGCAACCTTCTACCTGAAGAAGGTTCCCAGAGTCATCCTTGCGGCTAATCTGTGCATTTGGTCAGTATCTCGAAATTTGCTGCAAGCTTGAGACATCAAGCGACCTTGCCGTTAGCTACCAAAGCTTCCCAGATCGCCCCCCGAATTGTTTTTAGGTCTCCGCCAACGCTATCGCTATGTATCGTCGACACTCCTTTCAGGTTACTTCGAGCCCATTCCGCTCCCTTGACCATTATGGCTAGTTTCGAAAGAAGGTCGAGGTCGATGCCGAGTTGTTCCTGGTGCGCCACATCGTTCATGATCGGTAGCTAGCTAGGCAAAAGGCAAAATGAATGACGGATGGATGGATGAACATAGACACCCAGATTCTGGTCGGGTTACGAATTACGTAGTTCGATAACACCTACCAATATCGGCCGTCAGTCAGTAGGATTTTGGGGCCTAGTAGTATCGCACAACTTACGGATGGCGTGGTAAAATAGACTTGGTCTTGATCATAGCCTTTTGTTGGTCAAATGACAATCTCCGTGACCCCGCAAGAACCAAACATCTAATCACGTGAACATTCTTCTTGAAAGCATGGTTAGCTGACTTAATTGAATCTGTGCCTTCGGAGGCGTTAAAACGTAGGTGAATTCGCAGCCAAGTTGCTCTTTTGCATATGTCAACAAGACTCTCTCTCCCAAACCTTAGGTCTCAGAATAGCATTGCCATTTGCCTGCCCAACTCATGTTTTCCCATGTCCTTCCCCTCTTGTGAAGATTTTTCTTATCGATAAGCTGCATAGATTACCCGGCTCCGTTGCGGAGGCCGGCATGTCAATGATGGCCAACCAGATAGAGCTGCTACCTGGCCTGGATGGTGGTTGGCATAATAAACGCCAACAGTAGCATAGGAAGATAGAGCCGGCGGTTGTTTTTGGATGTTTTGTCCCCCGTTGTTATGTACTTCCTGTTTCTATGCATGGTAGCTCAAACTCCCACGCTAAAATCGACAGCGGGAAAGCGTATCGATAAGAATTCATCTTAACCTCGGCTCTGTAACACCCAAGCAACAGCCCAAAAAAAATCAATAGCACGGAAGAAGGATGTTGATTTACGAAATTATAGGATTTATTTTAAGTTTTAAATGCATATATTCGCCTCGTATAAAGACAAGCAATTCACCTGGTGGCCTTCGCTGCTCCATGCACGTATCCATACGGCGATGTTAGTTTGGTTGCACATTTTGTAGAAGGGAATGAACGACCCCGCCGAGGGGGGACAGTGCAACCAACTGTTGATTCTTCTTCTTAAGACTAACCAATTCTGCGGTGTTAGAACCAACAGTTCTCGGTCCTCATGTCCGAAATTGGAACCAGCCTCCAGAGTAATTCACGTTATTTAAATGAAGTCGGAAAGACTTTTTCTGCCAATAATCTCGCATTCAGCAAAACACGCAGCATCACAATGGAGACAACGACGCAGCCAGTTGAACAACCCGCCAGAGCTCATCAGGATCAGCTGATGATTGACATGATATTGCGCCTGCGACACGCGCCAACTCCTCGTCCCCGACACCTAGTCCCTCGTCAATTCCGACCACGATCGACTCGCCCTGCCCGTTCGCCTCGTACTGCTTCTTCTGTTCGTCTTGCTCAATCTAGTCGTGCCCGTTCTTCAAACCTCCCTATAAATCATTCCAGCGGTAGACCCTCGAAGGACGATTTATTCTGGCCCCCATCACAAGTTACCAACGCGCAACTCTCTGATCCTGCGACGCGCATCCTTATAAATACAAAAGAAGCGACACTTGTTTCATGTCTTGTTAATGGGGGGACAATGTACTACTTTGGAGCACCTTCCTCCCGCAAGAGCCGGGCACGACGGTAAAACATCCAGGAGGTACAAAGGGTTCATGGCAGAGATGTTTCCTAGTTTTGCATCTACGTTCCATGAAGAAACATGAGAGCATCTCTAGTGCTAGCACAAAGCAAGAGATTCATCTCGATTTATTATCGACACAGTATCCTGACACGTTACTCCGTAGCAGATCGAGGGGAGGCAGCCACAAGTGGGAAATTCTGGAGGACAGCACAGCAAGCAGCAGAACACAATAGCATGGAAACTTTCGCAACTGCTTAGCCTATTAGAGACTGGCCATCCGACATTGGACATAGGATGTATTTTGGTCGTAACTTCAGTAGTAATACAGGGACAGACCCCACCTCCAGAGTCTCCGCTACCATTGCCGCTCGCGACAGCTGAAGATCTGAAAGCTATCGTTCAATCCGTTGTTTGTCCAGGCACTCTGCACCCTCTGAAGATGACATCCAAAGGACTAGAGGAATTCCTCTCCTCTTTAAAAGAGTACAGTGTGCTACTTGATCATAAGTTGCCTCTCCTAACACCTTGCTAGGTACTACAACAAGGATGCCCTCTCCGATGTTACGATCACCTGGAGCAAAGTACCGAGGCGATGCGCTCAATGAACGGGATTGCGCGCACCTCGAGTCTGGCCAATATTTGGATGGGGGCGGCTTCATGCTGGCAGATAGCCCCCTCACACGTCTTAATGCATTGTACTGTATCAATGATAAAGGCTCTGTACAACAAACGGAAAAAGGCCTTTTCGATGAGATGCCGAGTCCAGTGGAGGACAATGTGCCATTTTGTTAACTGAAACCTGCGCCTCACTTTTTGTTGCCGTTCTTGAACTCATTTCACTCAAGACTTAGTCCACTTGACATCATGAAGGGTACATACAATTATCGCGTCTTAGGATTGATTTGGGACAAGCAGAGTTGTGCTCTTAGATGACCCGAAATTCAGGATCAACTTTTGGGTGAGACAAAACAATTTTATCCACGAGACACTGCCAAAATTATACACATTATTTGATCTAATCACAAAACACTCGGCTTAAAGCCGACCTCGAGGGCTGGACTTCGAATAAGGCTCCAACTCTTCATATTGTCAACAAGGCCAAGCTTTCCAGTAGCCAATTCAGACGATAACGTGGTGACCCAACTTGATCAGGCTGTCGTAGAGCGAGAAGATGGAGTCGATCTAACTTCAGGTTTCGGTGTAAGAGTGAAGCCTCTTCCGTTGAATGGTGTGCCTAGGGATTCCGTTGTGGTTTCTGATTGAGCTGCTGGCGAAGAAGCATTTCTAGATGGCTTCTTGCCTCCTGTCTGATGCAAACTGATTGTGGTGAAGTCTTGGGAGATCTGCTGAAGAGATTGTTCTTTAAAATGCCCTCCAGCTTGCTTGAGTCTCGAGCCGACGCCGTGGTTCTTTCCATTAAGTGGCTTGCCATCTGTCGAGACCATGAACTGAATAGTATCATCACCCTCAGCATGGTTCTCGATGTTACTGATCTTCTCCTCGAGGTAGGTGTTGATGCTTGAGCAGAGGTTCAGGGAATGACGTAGGGCCTCGGCTTCGTCGTTCAGGTTGTCAAGTAATAATTTATCATCTGATGATACGGTGGCTGACGAGCCAGCACCTATTCGCTCAGATACTTTCTGGCGATGTCTCTTCAATCGCTCGAGTGCAAATCCAATGTAATCCTTACAGCCACCGAGTCCTTCGCTGACAAGCATATTTGAAGTTGGGTGCGGGCCCAGAAGGCTGGGAGTGTGTCCTTCTTCTGCGGCAAATTGAAGCTGAATCTGATCAATATGCTGAGAAAGCTGCAGGCAGAACTGAAGGCCCTTTTCGGTACTAATGCGCTCGTTTTCTATGTATCTGATCGTCGCTTCGTCTGGTTCAGGACTGGCAATGGTCCGGCAAGCGAGAGTATCGAGCTTCTGCTTTACATCTGCAAGGTGCGCCTCTAAATCAATGGTTGTTGTCTCGATCAATCCTCGGCAAGATTGTATGGCTTCGACGGTGATGGTAGATGCGCGGCTTGACAAGGCAGATAGATCAGTATGATGGTTTATAATTGTAAATGCGGATACTTACAGGTTCGCAAAACTAAGAGCGACGACGATGGTGGACTTGTATCCAATAAGCTGTTGTCTAAAGCCTTCAATTCCGTCGCCGCCCCGGTACGTGATCTTAGCCCAGTCCCGAAAACTAGCTCGATCTTGGCCAGACCGCGAACTGCAGGCTCTCAGCTCCTGCTCAAATTCCTTGCATGAACGGCTGCATTGCTCCAGTGTTATTTTAAGGGTCGAAAGGTCCACTTCTATATCACCGCCAGGTGCTCGAGAGAGGTCTTGGAGCACCGTACTCAGCTCTACCAACTCTGAAAGGAGTTCCCTGACTTGACGTGGGAGGGTTTGAAAGCTTTGCACAGTTTCTTGAACCTTGGTAACAGACTTATGGGCGAATGTCGCCAAGGTAAGAAGACCAGATACCAGGCCAATAACTTCAGCCATTGAACAAAGATGTTGTGAGTTGAATTGATCTGGTTTAATTGATCTCGTCACAGCGATGGATGAAAGGTATTTATCGGCTTATCGTGTCACAAAAGGCTGTCGGATTGAGGGAATATAACATACCGAGGCCAGGCGCTCAACGAATGCAACGGGATTGCCGCGCGCCTCAAGTCTGGCCAATACTTTTGCGCAACAAGGTCTCCATAAACGTCTCAAAGCATTGCACTGGCTCGACGATAGGTGTTCAACCGTGGACAAACGAATTGTTAGCCCAAACCCACAAATGCAAGACTATAGCATTGGTTCAGCAGCAACCAAAGGTGGATAGCCTCCTATGACCACACTGTCCTGCGCCAAAACCTGGCGGCTACTAGGTGCCAGTCGAAGACGTGGGTGACGAGACACGCAGGCCTTCGGTCGTTCTAATCGCTTAGTCGTTCGGCAGTAATTGGACGGCACGATAGGTGTTCATGTACCTGGAACCGAACGCCTGAAGCCACGTTGGTAAAGTGGGCGTTTTTGGACGATCAGCAGGTTTGCACAGGTACTGTAAAAAGCGCAAAGTGGCCTTCCCATGAGGTGCCAAGTCTTGCCCTGAGGCAGAAAAGTGGTCTGGTCCCGTTTCATCCGCTCCGGCATAATTAAGGCGCCAAGACTGTCCAATCAGTCGTCAAAGAATTTTCTATAATTAGGTACAATCGAAATGACACGGCCACTTTGATCACTTGCACAATTGTCTTTCCGCTAACCTAAGAGCATGATACAAGAAACAGGAGAGCAAAGCCGGTTTCTAGATGTCTGATGAAGCCACCAACAGAGGACAACGACATTGGCCTAATAACCGCCGCAAGCTTGGGAGTATAATCTCCCCTAATAAGAGCTAGCGAGTAGATGTAAGGTTTTTGGTATAACGCTATGACCCCAAGTCGCAGTGCCACCTTCCTTGTACCTGGCATCGAGAGATCCTTAAACGAGAAACAAAAAACGGCATTGACTTGCTCCCAGGAACATAGTTCATCAAACACGTAAACAGCATTACTTTCCTCCTGGGAACAACAGATGCACTAATTGTGTAAACAATATCGAGTTGTTCCCAGGAATGTTAAGCAACACTGAAAGTACTTATTACTTGTTCCTGGGAGCTACGTAATGCTGAAAGTAGTTACTACTCGTTCCTGGGAGCCGCCAAATATGTAAATAGCATCAATTCGTTTCCAAGAACAATATGAGGGTTGTCAAATAAGTAAACAGCAATGTCTTGTGAAACATGCAACCGCATTGAATTATTCTTAGGAACATAATGAGTCACTAAATACGTAAACAACATTAATTTGTGCCCAGGAACAAGACATTAATTAAGAAAACAGAATCAATTGCTCTGTTTCTTGGAACATAAGCCCACTAACAGAGGATACAGCTCTTGTTTGTAGTAGAATGTGAATGTTTTACCCAAGGAATTCATTGTTCTTACCAAGAGAAACCTCGGACACGGATGCGACACATTACTGTTTTGACATCACATCTCTGTCGCTGGCTGCCAATTCTCGGCCGTTGACTGCATCTAAGATGCTATCACAGATCGTGGGGACCCGTGCGAGCTGCTTATGACAAGGTATTGCAAACACGGAACGTTGGCCTGTCCATGAACCCTGGACTTAGAGTAGCATCCACCTACCGCGGAATGAAGATGGGGCGAACTCCTTGCTTGTGTCTCGGATAACACTTGAGCCGCGCACATCAATGGGTCGTTGTAGCCAACCTTATTGCTGAAATACATGAAAGTACCTAGCTTGGTGACAAGACCCATCTCGCCCTCTTGTAGAGAGGTCATGTGTTACGAATAGAGATGACAGGTCACTGTTGCGTTGTGCACGGTGCTCCAGGTCCGAGGCCTGGTGGTAAGTGACTGAAAGAAATTGTGGGGCTGGGCCGTGGTCGCTGGCTTTGAATAGCTGGCCTTTGGGGTCGTTGGGCTTGTCCCCTGGGATGTGGAAGAACATCATCAAATAAGAGTCTCATGTTGGGTGAGAACTTGAGACCTTCAGTATGATGGACTGAGGCGGCAAAGATGAGCGCTGAACTTCTGCCGAAGATATCAGACAAGATGTAGACTTGAGCTAATTTATCCCTTAGCATTTAGCATATCAATTTCCCCTTGAATCTCGGTACCAACCCTTTTATTTGTATTCGAACGTCAGCTTAAGCAGTCAGGCAGCTCTCCAGAAGTCTTGGTGCTGTTCCCCAGATTTATTTTTGGAATTCGTATTTGCGCTTCTCCTGGTTCCAAAATACGGCCCCGGCTTTTGCGCATTCTGATTCAGTTATACTTTACTCCTATTCGAGGGCGATAAGCATGTACGAAAAAACACACAACAGCATGGCTGTGGCCCGCCGGCTCAAAAAGCAGGAGGCCGATCGCAAGTCCCAGAAGCGGGTGCGTGAGAGGACCAAGAGCCGCATTGCGCATCTTGAGAACATGGTTGAAACTTTGCGACAAAACGACTCAAAGGCACAAATACTCACATTGATGGATCAGCTGGGCCAGGTTACAAAGGAAAGAGACAATTTACTACAAGTGCTTAAGTCCCTAGACTCAACAATTGGTCGTCATCTCGGTAACTCCACCACAAGCAATCCTGCTCCAGACACAAAATCCGAACTATCGACGCACGCATCAACAAGAGGACCTACGACCCCGGAATGGGGAGAACAAACAGTCCCAGTCACTGTTACTGGGGGGTTCTCAGAAATGTGTAGCCCTACAACACTAGAAACCCCAATGGGCCCCCCTCCAAGTAGTCTCTTCGCCTATAGCTACACCGCCAGCCACGAGCCATATTCAACAGCTTTTGGCAACCTGATCCCCCCGCCCGACGTGAATCAGCTTTGGCAACTTTCAGGATTGGAGAGTGATATTGTCCCATGGCCACAAAGAGTTCCTCAAGGTTGACAAGCAGCGAAGCGTTGGTGTAACATATTCAGGAAAGACAGCAACTACTGGAGTTTTTTCCTTTTCTTCTTGGTTTCACGGAGACTTGTTTGTCGCATCGATCTTCTTTATTTCTTTAATACAATATACATGCATCCAGTAACGTACAGAATATGCGGGCAGCGCAGACAAGCGCGTGGCAAAGATCCTTCTTGCCTTAGGTTTCCCCATCCTGGTCCATCATCGTGTCGTGATGGGTGGGTTGCCCAATGCGAGGGCTACAGTGCTAGAACATGGGGGGACCTAAGTAGCTTTTTCCCCTGCCACCAGATCTTTACGCACTATCTTGGTGTCGCATTAACATTGTATGATCTGTTTAAGATATGTTCGAGATCTACTGTACCTCTGGCAAGTTTCTCCCTCCGGTCGGGTTGTTCCTTTATTCCTCCGAATCTAAGCTCTTCGGTGGCGCCACTTATTATCTCATAGAGAGCTTGCATTTGTTCTAAACAACAAACAATGCTGGGTGTAGCTGCAGGCTGGCTCAACAAATCATCAGAGATGTTCATTAGACCCAGCGACGCCGTGCGAATCTGGCATAGTAGCATCATTATCATTTGCTTAACAATTAGTTGTGAAGAAAACGTACCAGATCTATGTTCCGGCTGATGAGAGCGTGACGACCTACAGAGTCGTCGCTCGTCAGTGACCGAAAAGGTGGCGCCGAATGAGGCATTGTGTAAAAGGCACCTTGTTTCTTGCGACGAAAATTGAGGGCCGATTAAGACATGGACACGCACAAGCATTTATAAAGGCCCAACGTATGACACTTTACCCTGATGTGCAGCTTTCGGGCCCTTTTGGAGAGTGCCATGCCTTACATCGAAAAGGGAAACGAGAGCTGAAAGCAGGATGGGTGGCTTCTGAGACAATGTTCAGTCTTAGCCCCCGTGTGCCGCCAGCATTGCTCCACCCACTGTTACCTTGTGCCGCCTAAAGAGATAGTGCATGGTCTAATCATGGTCTCAAAAAGGAGGCCATTCTGTAAAAATTGAGAGCCCAGCTCAGGTTCCACAGGCGATTTGACGAAAGAGACACACCCACTACTCCTCCGGCTGCATGGAGATGAGCAGTTAATCGGGTTGATGATCGAAGCATGTCAAGGCACCAGTTTATAGCCTCTTCAATTCGAGACACTCTCCATCTAAAAACCTTGATCCGCGAAAGGCTTTGTTCATTCAAGGTTTTTTGCCATCGGCCGTCGTCCCGGGGAAACCGGGGAAACCGGGGTTCGCGGCTGGCAAAAATGGATTCGGTAGCTGAGACCCCTGATCCCCGATGCTTGTTTGGTTCTTACCCAACAAGCCAAGCATCCGTCGATGACAGGTCCCTCAATTATCTCTTAATGACAGAGCTTGTAAGTTCTGTTTATCCAGGATCAAAGCATGTCAACGCGAGTGTCTCGAGGCTGAACTATAACCCGTCAGCCAGTTCATTCAAGGCGCGAAGAAAAGCAAGATGAAGGCCCTGAACTTGACTACCTAGCGCCCATGCTCCAGATTTGGGTACAAGGCCAGAGCACTGTTGGCTCTAACACTGCAGGACCATTTAGTCACTACCAGAGCCAACAACCATGCTGGCCCATGGTTTGCGGCCAATACTTTTTCTTCTCTGTGTCTCTCTTGTGTTTTCTCGCAGACGGTCGTCGCCGTAACACTCATGCCACGTCGCTGAGTCCGACACAGATCTTTAAGGGCGGGACACGCAGCGGGGCCGTAGAAGATGGATACGTAGGGCTATGAGTGTTGTAATAATCGGTCAGCTATTCGCACACGCAGCGCTCACAGAACCAATACATTTCTAGGCAGTTTTTTCGTGTCGCTCTGATTACTGAAAATCTTATGCCCAAAGTTTATTGAGGTACTGAAGAGTCGTGCTCAACAGAAAATATATTACAAGATCACTTAAGTGAAGTATGTGCACTAGTATGACAAACAAGCGTGCACGGTGACCCCCATAAAGGTACCGTTTCCCTCCATTTCTCAACCCTGTCTCGTTGAACTCTTGTGATTTCATCCTGGCCTCGGCTACTTCCAGGAGATTTGGACTCATGCGCCTCGTTGCCTTTTTGTCTGTATAAGTATCGAGCATCGTTTCTTTCCCCGATGACGCGCTGAAACGTTTGCCAAGCACTGAGATTGTCTGGAACAGTTATAGCAGTAGATTCGTCTTTCTCGGTGCCACTCGATGTAGGTATGAATGACGAAGCATGAGGGGTGTCAGTGTTGGTAGATACATATGGCATTATAAGACAGGGCTCACCAGTATCCAGGGAACCACGGCTCTGGCTCATGTTGAAAAGAGGATGTGAACATAAAGCTGAAATGTTCAGACTGCTAGCAACAGAGATCTGGGTGACAAGGGCTCGTTAAATACCCTTCACCCAAAGGCTCTTCCCACAGATCCCAACAACGCCAGAGCCTTATTTACAGCCAAGCTGTGCAGGCACAAAGCAAGCCAATTTCTAGAACAGCAGGACGCAAGTCTGCACAGCTTTGCTCCTTGGAGGCACAAACCCTGGCCTCTCTTTGTCTTGCTGTCAGCCACCAACAGAATTACCTGACTACATCTCAGATGCACGCTGAGCCTATTATAATCATGCCCCCCCCCACCAAGGTCTGTCTCAGCGGCTGAATTGCCATCCTAGCAACTATCGTGCTCTTGGCAGTTTGTTATCCTAGCTGAAAGCTACGCATTGGAGTTCGTCTGGTCAATGCGGTAAGCATGGCGACTAGTAACCCAAGAGATGGCAATAAGATGGAAATTATTGCCAAGAAGTTGTGCTTGATAAGATGTTAGTGGTGCATCAACCAACTTTTTCTTTGAATGTAACACAGCTCGGGCATGAAGGTATCAGCTTTTCTAAGATGGCTTGGAAAAGAGTCATCCCCTGCAAGTTAGTTGTCTTACAGGCTGAGCTGTGCGTCAGTGGTGTAAGTTTTAGAGCCAACACTGTGGGGAAAATGAGCCCGCTTTGTCCAGTGATCCTTACGGCATGCATGGCACACATTCTAAAAACTCAACTGCTTTGGAGCGAACCGGAAGAGAAGAGCATTTGGTTCGCTTATGACTAATTTGAAAAGGCGTAGGTATTAGCGAAGATGACGAATTACGGTCTTTACCAAGCTGCCAGGTATTGTTAAGGGTTATTTGAACGCATCAGAAAGGAGCGATTGTCTTCGGGGAAAGTCCCTTCTTATCTCCCGCTCTGCGTCCATGACATTTCCTCACGAATAACTTTCACCTCGCTGATATTAACAGTGGCCGCTCCGTCCGATATGTCTTTGCCAAATTCGATCCTTGTTTTCAACCAGATCATAGAACACGTAGCTCAATGTGCGGAAAAGCTTGCAGGTATACAACCACTGGCGCGCAAACGGGAAGACGATATGCGAGCTATCCGGGCTAAGATCAGCGCGGCGTGGGAGCGTATTCCGCAAACCAGTCATGCCTTTGAAAGAGACCGATTACAAGCAGAAATACAAGGCTACTTTGCCAAGCTACGAGAACTTGAGCAGAACTACGAGTCGGGTTTGGGAGATGCACACAAAGACTATGAACATCAAGCCGACATAGCTGTCAAAGCTCTTTGTGAAGCTCTTAACGAAGCAGCGGACACATTGTTGGGATCACGAAGCCGAAGGATTGTAGGAGCCAGGGAACTACCCGGGGCGACAGAAAACGACATCTGAGCGCCAAGTAAGCTTAAGACAGTACTGACCCGCTCGCTCAATTTTGCTAACAAACTAGAATAACAGCACGTACGAATTCAGCCAAAACAAGCCAAAACAACTGCGAGAGCAACGCTTCGACTGTTCCCACTGTGCAACTCACTTCACCTAAGACTTAATCCACTTGACGTCATGAAGGATACCAGCAATTGTCACAAGCCGTATCCCTTTGGAATTGCTTTGGGACAAGTATAGTTGTCCTTTAAGATAATGCGGAGTTCAGTGTCAATATTTAGATGAGACGAGACAGATTTTATTCACGCAAGATTACACACATTACCTGGTCTAGTCCTTGAACCCTTGGCTTCAAGCCAAGCTCAAGGACTGGACCGCCAATAAGGTCCCATTTCTTCATATATCGACAAGTCATGCGTAGCCAAGTCCAGACAACATAGCCGCCCAATCTGATCAAGCTGTTGTAGAACGAGTAGATGGAGTCGAGCTGACAGTGGGTTTCGGTGTAAGAGTGAAGCCTCGTCCGTTGAATGGCGTTCCAAGCGGTTCCAATGTGGTTTCTGAGTTGGCTGGTGGTGACGTACTTTTAGATGGCTTGTTACCTCCCGTTTGATGCAAGCTGATCGTAGTAAAGTCCTGGGAGATTTGCTGAAGAGATTCTTCCTTAAAATGCCCTCCAGCTTGTTTGAGTCTCGAGCCGATGCCATGTTTCTTTCCATTCAGCGGTTTGCCATCTTTTGAGACCATGAACTGAATAGTATCATCACCCTCAGCGTGGTTTTCGATGTTACTGATCTTCTCTTCGAGATAAGTGTCGGTGTTTGAGCAGAGGTTCAACGAATGGCGCACGGCCTCGGCTTCATCGTTGAGGTTGTCAAATAGCAGTTTATCATCTGGTGATGCGGCGGCCGGCGAGCAAGCGCCGACTCGCTCAGATACTTTCTGGCGATGTCTCATTAGTCGCTCCAGTGCGAATCCGATGTAGTCTTTACTGCCACCGAGTCCTTCGCTGACAACCATTCTCGATGTTGGGCGCGGGCCCAGAAGATTGGGAGTGTCCTCTTCTCCTACGCCAAATTGAAGTTGGATCTGATCAATATGCCGAGAAAGCTCAAGGCAAAGCTGAAGACCCTTTTCGGTACCAAGACGCTCGTTTTCTATGTATCTGATCGTCGCTTCGTCTGGTTCAGGACTGGCAATGGTCCGGCAAGCGAGAGTATCGAGCTTCTGCTTCACCTCTGCGAGATGCGCCTCTAGATCAATAGTTGTTGTCTCGATCAATCCTCGGCAAGATCGAATGGCTTCGACGGTGATGGTAGATGTGCGGCTGGATAGAAAAGATAGATCAGCATGATGGCTTATCATTGTAAATGTGAATACTTACAGATTCGCAAAGCCAAGAACGACAACAATGGTGGATTTGTAGCCAATGAGCTGCTGTCTAAAATCTTCAATTCCGTCGCCGCCCCGGTATGTAAGCTTGGCCCAATCCCGAAAACTAGCTCGATCTTGACTAGACCGCGAACTGTAGGCTCTCAGCTCTCGCTCAAATTCCTCACATGAACGAGTGCATTGCTCCAACGTAACTTTGAGAGCTGACAGGTCTACTTCAACGTCCCCACCAGGTGCTCGAGAGTTCTTGGAGTACTGTACTTAGTTCTGCTAACTCTGAAAGAGGTTCCCTGAGTTGGCGTGGGAGGCTTCGAAAGCCTTGTATGGCTTCTCGAACCTTGGTGACAGATTGATGGGCGACTGTCGTCAAGGTAAGAAGACCAGAAATAAGGCCAATGACTTCAGCCATTGAATAGAGATGTCATGAGTTGAATTGATCTGGTTTTGTTGATCTCGTTACAGCGATTGACGAGAGATATTTATCTTTTCTTTCCTGGTCACAAAAGGCTGCCAGGCGCCTCGAGTATAGCCAATACTTGACCATAAGCAGCCTTGTGCAGACAGATAACCCTTGTGAATAGCTCAATGCATCATGCTGTGTCGGCGATAGAGGTTCGATTATGGGTAAATGATTGGGCAGTCTAAATCCAATACATGCATCGGTTCGGTAGTCCGACATGGAGGAACAGCCCTCTTGTGATCAAACTCTTCTGCGTCTAAAGCTGGCGGCTGTTACGGAGCGCTGATAGGCGTGGTCGGAATGTGCAGGTCTTTGGCTGTTTCAGTCTTTTGATCATGCTGCAGGAATTGGGCGGTACGGTATTGATAGACCTGGGACGGAACGCCCGACGCGTTAGGATAGTGGGCGTTTTTGAACAATCAAAGATGTGCAATGGCACTGTACAACAGTACAACAAAGAGAAAACTGGCCTTCCAATGAGGTGCCAAGTTTCGGCCTAAGGCAGAAAGCTGGTCAAATCCCGTTGCGTCTGTTCCAACAAAATGAAGGTGCTTGGGCTGTCCAATCAATAGTCAGAAATTCTGCTATAATTAGGTATACGCGAAATGACGTGGCCTTTATGATCACTTGCGCAATTGTCTTTTTGTTACTGTAGCCTAAAAACATGACAAGAAAGAGGAGAACAAAGTTGATCTCTAGGTGTCTAATGAAGCCACTACATACACAGGACAACGGCATTCGTTTAACAACCGCCGCAAGCGTAAAACAATGTGAATCCTCGGATATCAATGTTGCATTTCTCTCCAGCGCTTAGACCCTGGTATGTAGGCAGAGGGCTGTAGTAAATACAGCGTCTAAAACTTTAGGTGGTTGAACTGCAGCCAGTGAAAGTAGGGAACGAGCCGCTGAGCCAGGCCCACAGCGACTGCTGCACTCCCTAACTCCACTGACCAGACATGCCACGCTTCATATCGTGTTCTACTTGACCCATTTAGACCCCCTGTGCTTGCAGGAGGGATATCCAGTTGATGTGATTTGGCCCCTCAAGTATTAGAGTACATTAGACGTGTATAAGCAAGCGGCAAGACGGGGCTAAAACGGTAAAGAACCTCTACCAGAGCGCTAATGGGAGCCAATCCCAACTGTCGAGTTGAGCGAGGATGAGATATTTCACCACAATGCTGCCTCACAGTTGACTGGGATATCTGAGTCTCTTACAACATTCTTCTGTCTTTCGATTTGTATTTCAATCAGAAATTGAAATATTGCAGATATTACAATGGATCCCGGAAGCATCACCGGTATCGGTTTGGCAATTGTCCCACTTCCGGTTCAATCAATCAAGTCGCTCAAAGACACCGTTACCCGTTACAAAGGCCGCGACAAGACCCTTGCTAGGCTACATCATGTGCTTGAGGATCTGGATAATATTCTGGAGGTGCTGGAACGAGCTGTTGACTCAGAAGCATCGACGCGGGCTCTTCTGGAGGGCCCTGTCAGCCGATGCAATATCTTGTGCCGCGATTTCGAGACCGCCATGCAGGCATTTGGTGGAACGTCCAGGATGGGCTTTCGAGATTGGGCCAGGATGGAGTTCATGACGGGCGACATCAATGAGTTCATGGACAGGTTGGAAGGGTATAAAGCAACGATCTCAGTAGGTCTAGGTATCATCATTATGTTAGTCTTCTATAACTGGCCAGCTTGAATCCTATGACTAACCTTGGTTTTATTGCTATTTCAGGCAAACATCCAAAGTCTCCCACGAAGTTCTTGAGGAATACAACGAGACGATACAGGATACAATGTACAGCCTTAATGTTAATCTGCAACGCCTTGATGAAAAAATGGAGCTTCTTATCCAAGAAAGCAAAACCACCAGCGCTTCGGATACAGGCACTGACCTAAGGGACGAGCGGGCAGTGACGGAGCAATGTCTCCGAATTTGCCAAGATGCCCGTTCTTACATCGACTCACTGGCAGACCGGGAAGAATCCCTAAAGGATCAGTCGCTCTCAGAATCCGTTGCTGATAGCGAGGGTCCGTTCGAGGCACAGTTACTTATACGCCGAACCTTGAATGAGAGTCGAGACAACCTCGCCCAGACCATTGGCCGGCTTCATGAACGGTTGGACTCAATGGCAACAAGTGGGACGCCCAAGAATGACCTCGGCTACCTTCAATTGGAGGGAGACTTAAAAACTTCGAAGCAGTGTTTAGAGCTGTGCAAAACTGCATCCGAACAGGTTGCACATCAAAAGGTCTACACTGTCGGAGAGATGATCGCTGACGGTGACAGCGATCAAGTAGTGATCACGACCCTCGCAGACCTCTTTGATGTCAAGAAGGCGTCGTCAACCAACAGATCAGCGCAGTGGATAGGATATTTATCGGATGAAACAGTGCGACAAGTGTCTAAAGACCGGTACAGTAGTCGTTTCGGTGCTGTGGCCGCGGATGGGGCTGGCGATGGCATTAGCACCATGCCTTCGACATCCGACACTCGCGAAGTCAACAGTAGCCTAGCACGACGACCTGGGAAGACAGGGCAGCCTGTGGCGCCAGAGGCAGTGCATAGGCGGCCTTCTCCAAATGAGATAAGAAAACGGGCGACGGAAGAGTGTGATGAGAAGGAGAAACGTCGATAGAACAACCAACTGTGAACGGATCCAGGCTGAACTCGCCATTATACAATGTGTAGTTTGTAGTTTCAGGTGTCAATGACATAACCTTGCTCTTGTGTTAGGCGGGGCGTACTCGCCATTTGAAGGCCAAGTTTTGCATGAAGATCCCCTCTTCTCCACATTCAGGTATGACTCTGGACAGGACCCAAGAGCCAGGCAACGAGCACTCTTTCACGTTGCTTAAAAGAGCTCGTCATCAAACATTTGTACTGAGGCGATCAATACTGTTCCATGCTCTTCAATGAAAGCGCGTTCTCGAATTTGACGATCGAGCGCAGCGATGATTGTTACAAAGTGCAGAAGGCCATTTTTTGTCTGTGCTCTAAATTCTTCAAGAATGCTTACAATGACCCATTCCAAGTATAACTATCACACTAGACTCTGGTACTGCTGACATCAACACAATGTTAGGAGGGCGAGTCTGGCATCATCTGCTTCCCAGAGATGATTTCCCGCATGCTATCCAAGAGGTCTACAAGTCAACAATCGATGAGGATCGCCTTCCGTGGGATGTCGTAGTGGAGGTCGCTGATGCGCATCCGGAATTTTTGGATCAGTCAAGATGGCAAGAGTCAATTACGGGTCTTGGTCTTTGTTTCGATTCACTGATGCGTTCCCGTTGCAGGCGACCTGTGTCACAGCCAGCCTCTAGACTGCTTGGTGAGACCTAAATCGACAGTGGTTAGAGAGCATTTATATGTATCATAAACTTGATGTGAATAGCAATAAGCTATAGACAACTGCATAGCGACACCTCATGTTAGCGCATTTGCCCTGCATATCTACTTGCCCTTTAATGTTGAACTGTCGAACATCCTGCCCCTTTTGTGGTTTTTCAGGCGTGCATGTCACGCCTTCGCCAACACCGAGCGACTACCTGTGTAGGCCTACAGCAGACACGCTAAAATTATGGAATTAACCGCTTAGATGGAACTTTGTTCCTGACACGATGATGCCTGGCAATCTAAGCAATGAATGTGTCATCTATGGGTCATCAAGAGCTGGCGACTTTTGTCGCTACAATGCGTGGGGATGAATACCTAGATAAATTTAGCCGTCTCTATTTGATTCGCCATCTGGAGCAGATCAAATATAATTCATTGCGTTATTCCTCTCCAGGCTCCGCCTCAGAACCTCCTTTGGGCTCTGATAATGGGTTCTTTATTAGCACCGGCCATTCTGGGCTACGTTCCTGCCGCTGCTCCCCTCCCTTCACCGGTTTTTGACCGTCCCTTTGGCGTGCATCCGCGGCTGTCGCTAGCACAGGCAACGGGAAGCTTTCATTCTGTCACACTCTATTAGTCACAGTAAGCATATTGTGTCAGTAAGACTAACTTTTTCCTTGTCAGACAGCGGTAACGCTTTGTCAGTAGACTTAAACTAATACTTTTCGCCCTTGCGGCGTATACAAATATATACTTCGGCGTTATAGATGTAATGGATAATGAGGCCGTTATTCTTGAGTGTGCTCCATTTCTTCTTGAAGTTCTCGTTACTCCGGTCTCTCCTTCTGACACGGATGTTCTCAGTGACCGCCATTGTGATTGTAGAGATAAAACTGGTAAGGTAATTAGCTGCGAACATAGCAATTATAGTAAACCTCCTCTAATAAGCGCAGCGGTAATAATTTTGCTTTTGAGTTTGGTGTATTCAGGAAGCTGTTTTTGGCTCGATCATGCTTGTTAGCAATTTGCTTCTTGTTTTAGGGTAGATGCACGCCCCGCCAGAGGAGTGCATTTCGAGAACGGAAGAAAATAGAATACCAAAATCAGGTTCATAGCTAAGTATAGGTCCTCAGCGCTATATATAGGCCATTCTCGTAATAAGGACTGGTTTCGGGCTCCTCGCTCTGGTTTGTGTGCGGAATGGAGGCCTATTCGTTTTTTTTTTTTTTTTTTTTTATTTTGTTGTCTCACGGATAAGCCTTACCCAGCATAAATTCAGGCTTTCAAGTCCCAACAAGGCGACGCAGACCATTATATTCAGCCTGTGAGGCACAAAAAGATGCACACAAGCCGACTTGGATGAAAACGAAAGAAGGTCAATGTTTCTCTGTCGTGTACAGCAAAGTAGAACTACACCAATAGGACATGTTAATATAAAGCGACTGGTGTAATGGCTTAACTGTAAGCATGTGCTGACACCAGTAGGCGTGTACTCCGACCCAGCCCACCACTGCTTGTACGAGCGTATTTAGTGAGGATAAGAGTTCCTATTTCTTTTTTCTCAATTTTGTACGATTAGAGCTCGATCTAAATCCCTCTTTGTCTTAGCTCAAAATGTCCACTCTGAACTATTGTTTGCGCCATCGGATGTTTGGCATCTATATTATGGTGTCCCTAAATCAGGGAGCGATAGCCCTACAGTCGCAACCGACCAATTTGGGCCTCCAAGGCTGATGCTCTTAAAGAGGCGGCTTTTTCGTCGTGCGCCTTTAGTCTGTTCAGCTGAGCGTACCCATACGGATAAATTAGCCGAGCGTCATGTGCCTTCAATAGATGACTTGGTTCAATAATAAGATGTGAGCCAGACTTTGATCAAACACGTCAAATTGGCAAGGCTCTGATAATCTTGTTGGGGGGATCGAATGGGGGACCCTTTGCCCCTCTTTTTTTTTCTGCCTTTCCACGCTAAGCCCTGGCTGCTTGTCTCTCCCGTACGTCTTTGCTTTCTCTTCCGTCTTAGCCCTGGTGTAATGAACTTGCCCTGGTTTCTCCAAGGATACATGCTACTAATGCCATTGCGTTGAGGCTTGACCCCACTCTTCTGTATCAACGCCCCTGACTTGGTCTGTCTGTTTGTGTGGCCGGGGTGAAAAGGAAGGGCTGGTGCAGGAAGAGACAAATGAAAAACGTTGCAGGTCCAGTGGAAATCTCCGGATGTTGCCTCAGGTATCCTCGAAGGTCGTGGGCTGTACTGTATGCACCAGGGCGTCCCACGGGCCAGTTAGGGACGCCCAGGCATATTAAATGCACTAGCATATGCGTGCTAGTGCATACCCGCTGTAGCGGGGGGACTGACACCAGAGCCCCTGCGCTTTGTTTCAAGACACACAACAGCATAGGACAACAAGAAGCTAAGAACGACTTCCATGCCGTGCACAATGCAGAACGAGGAGCCAAAACCAGTCCTTTTTACAAAGTTGACCTATATAAGTTGCGCTACCCGATCTCTCCTCGCCTTTCGTTCGCCTGCCATCCGAGCTACTGTTTCAACTTTTCTCCTTCCTAACTGACGCAGTGGGCCAACTTTGCCTCACCTGCAGACGCCTTCTCCAGATCTCGGCAGTCATCACTCTGTCACACTTACCACATAATCAACTGCCAACAGCTTCTGGTGTGTTCAAAAAGGCAGTGAAGGATGGCCAGATCGTCCCCGAAAACTCATTCGCCTTTAGATAACAGCGACCTGACTTCCCCGCACGGGATTATTTCGACCAACGAGCGCTTGCCCTACCAAGCTAAGATGTCTGATAGCTGACGGCACGAAAGTTTCAAATACATGAGACGTAGGGTAACAGACGGACAACTCCCCATAGTTATCGAGGAATGTTGTGTGCAGACTACAAGCAACCATAGCCACGATTGGTCTCGCCAGACTGGTAAACCACAACGCTGGCCAATATGTTGTTGATAGTTGGTTGAGAGCGCGCTGCCGTTGCGACGAGTATAAAAAGATTGGATTGGCGACATTCGTCATAGAATTGATAACCCGTTCACCAACGAGCGTCTGAATTCGTTCATCCTGTTGCCACTGTTGCCAGACAAATCGCGAGTCACGAGGAGTAAAATGAGACAGAAACGTGCTCTTTTTGGATTCCTCCTTCGGAGTCAAAGACCAATACTCAATCTAAGGCATGGCGTCAACTACAGAGTAAGCTCTAGAATCCTCAAAAAAGGATGTCAGAACCTGAAATGCGGTAGGGAAGTCACTATTGGACCAACGATAACGGCTACTACGTGTACTTCAACAGGTGAGTGTTGCACTGGTGGATTATGTAACAGCATACTGACTAGCTTCCTCGACAAGCAGTGACGGCAGTATATATATCCACTGTGGGTGAACAAAGCCATGGTTACTATTAGGCCTCAAGGGATTGCAGTTCATCTGCAATCATGCTACGGAAACGGTCGGTGCGTGGGCAGCCGCATCTCATAAGGCTTTGTGAGAGGATGTAAGCTGGCTTGACTTGCTCGCCTAATGTTCATAGGCAGATACTAGTAAGCGCAATGGAATGTATCTAGCGTGATTTCTTTCAAGAGGCATTCGTGAACGCAGGATCCAAGACCAACGGCTAGCCCTGATAATTGATCAAATGGGATCCGACAATTTCTCCGTACATGAATTGATTAGTTTATTGAGCTTATCTACGCCCCGGGACGATAAGAGTTGAAATTCTTTGCCGAGTCTTACCACTCTCCACCTGAAGACCAAGAAACCCCCGATGGAGCATGTAATCTGCTCAAGGCCAGTGTTTTCACCCAGTCATCCATCTCAGTACGTCTTGGCGCAGAACCCTACCCATCAGAGTTTTCTCATGCACATGCGCAAATAGTGCAAGAATTTCCCTAGCGACATATTCCTCTCCAAATGCTCATCGCAAGTAACAACGCTTTCAGCGTGTTGCAACAAGGCGCTCATAAGTGAGAAAGGCGTGCCGCAGGCTGGGCACTGAAAGTCGAAGGCTGGATCATCTGAGGTGTATTGGCCAGACTGATAGCATTCAAGCGCACACTCGGTGACATAGTCTTCATCTGCACCAGACTGACAGTAGCCAGCTTCAGGGTGCAACACCATCGCCGAGTCAGAGATGAATACCCTGGAGCAGCCCAAACACTCCACGGTCTTCTTCGCGTGGGTTTTATAATGCTGTGATAGATCCTTAGCAACCATAACAACTAGGGGTAGGAAATAGCATTCACATTCTGTAGATTTGACTCGGAATCGAAATCAGGCTTTTGAGGGCAGTTGTAGCAGATATGATGATAGGAAGAGTCTGTGATGTGTTGCTGCTTAGCACTGCTATGTGAAAAGTGTTTTTTGCAACGGAAACAGTAAGTATTTGGGTGTTTGCTTTCAAGATGCTGTTTGAGCGCATGGGGGTCAACGAAGGATCGGTTGCAGGGCTCGCAGTACTCCATCCTTCCCTCTTGTCCGTTCCGAGGCAAGCTCTTCTTTAGTTGGCGATCGTAGAATCGGTGGAGGTGAGTGTAAAATGCTAGCTGCGGGGTAGAGAGGATGATGCGGGCTTGTGGGTTTCATGTTTCATTTACGCCGTGTTGGTTCATAAAGTCCCATAAGCTATTGCATAGCTCAAGCCGATCATAGTTAGATAAGACTGGCAACATGAATCCTCGTTTGTTTTAGAAGAAAGTGAACTCGATTTGTTAGATACTGTTTTATGTATTTGGGCCCTCTGTCTTGTTCTACCGCGGCGCTGGGAGATATGAGATGGCGGGCGGGTTTCAAGGATCCGCTTACTACACATGACAAGACTCCGATTGGACATGTAGCACGAAAAGCTTTTCCTTGGAATATCATTAATGGATAGGCTCCGCGCAAATTGATTGGGCCATGTACCAAAAAATCTAGTACCTGGAACGCCTGAAGCGAGGTTGGCCTTTTCGGTAAGGTGCCAAATATGATGCCTAAGGCAAAAAGAAGACGTGATTCCAGTCCCCAGTCGAAGTCTCACTTATTCTGCCGCCAGACGCCGCTTCAGGCAATAGCTAGACTGGCGCGTTGCTGCTAGAGTATCGCGGCCGTTCATCGAGCTTTTTTAGACCTCGAAATTTGGTCTCAAAGCGAGCTCGCGATGGAGAAAACATGCCCTAATCTGTTCGATTTTACGACCTATACAAAGCAAAACATCTGCGACAACACGTTAGACGATGCGCAGCTGGTGACACGGTGTCCGCTTGACAAAGGGCGATTCACCGACGCGTCCAACCCCCCGCGTTATTCCGCCGGCCAACTCGACCAGCTTCCAGCAGAACTTCTCATCCAAGTCCTGCTGTACATTGACCTTCCGTCGCTTACTCGTTTCCGCCGCGTCAACCGCCGCGCGATGGAACTCGTTGACTCGATCCCCCAGTACGACGCCATCGTCAAGCATTGCCCTAACATCATCCGCGCCATTCTCAGCATCCAGGCAGACGCATTTGACTGCGATGTACTGTACACAACTCTCAGCACAACCCGATGCTCCACGTGCGAGCGCTTTGGTGACCATCTCTATCTCATCGACTGCCGTAGAGTATGCTACTTCTGCTTCACCCGGCGGCTGGAATACTTTCCCCTCACAATCGGCCGCGCATCGAGTTTCTTCACTCCCGACGGGACGCAGCAGCGCAGTGCCATCACCAGCCGCCAACGCTTACATGCGGCGAATCCCCCAAGCATCCTGAGCCTGCCCGGGCGGTACTGTACCGCCTGGACCAGTGAAGGGGGTAATTTGGTACGAAAGCGGCTTCAACTCTTCGACCGGCAGGCAGTGATTCAGGACCTGACGGGTTCTGGTCTTCCAAAGTTAGACAAGACCACTAGGGAACCTCAGCGGTTCATGGCCATCATCACCGCACCGTATCTGTTTGATTCTGGCCGTCAGGCCGACTGGGGATGCTTCTGCCTTGGCTGTAAGGAGGAGAAGGAGGAGAAAACGAAGCATTTTAGGATCAAATACACAAGAGAAGAGGTGTCGGAGCACATTGCGAGGTATGGACCGGTGAGGGAGATGCCAAGAATACCCGGTAGGTTCATGCATGTCACTCAAGTCTGACAGGGAGATCAATCTCATCTTGAATCCGTGGGAGGGATCAATCTCGTTAGAATTCTGCACTTAGCCTCCAAGAAAAGCGCCTTTGATGTTGTCCCTTACAGTCTAGATACACTCGCCGGCGCTCGCCCAACCCGCAGACAGACCGTCACTAACGTGTCATCACACACCCTCAGCGGTGCATCTCGTCTTTTCCCTCCTTGACCATGTGCTTGCTACACATATGCACAGAGTCAGGCAGGTCCTCCTTCGTCACCGGACTACATTTGACGTTTGTGCCCAGACGCGCCGCACACTGCTTGAACTCCTCCGGCTTCCTGCACCCGCAGGTATACTTGCGGTAGGTCTGGACGCACATAGTGTCTAGAGTGCTGTGTTGCGTGATGTTGTAACTCTGCGGCGTAACAAGGCTTAGGTGCGTCGCGCGAATTGGGTCTGAGTCAAGACGCCAAGGTCAGTATCTACATCCCGAGATCATAAGGGTCCGAAGCCGTTCAGTAATGAGGAACTTCAACGTACCTGTGTATTTGGAGACACTGGCACACAGTTTGGGGGTAATAGGGCCGGTATATGGGGGATATCGACTGGGTACTCGCTTTTCAAGGTCGCCGTCGCTCACTGGTATGATGCTCCTGCCTGGGGGCGTCTCAGTCTCCATGCTACTTATATATTTCATCTGCTACATATAGATCTCTTATTCTGAGCAGTTTCCTGCTCAGATAGCGCGCGGCAATAATGTCATGCGATGGCGCTTGCTTTCTTGCATATTCTCCACATATACCGGTCCTGGTGCGGAAGATCAAGTCCCTTAGTGGACAACATGCGCCTGCTCCCTGGTAGTAGCAAATCCCAGCCAGATGTGCCGGGTTATGCAAGGCGCACTAGGGCGCGAAGGTTACCCAGCGCGGTAAGATCACTTGATGCAATTCCATTGGCTAGCAGATGTTTGACTCTGCTGGCTCTGGGTCCTTGGGAAGGGAGACCTACATAGTGCTAACAGCGACCCACGCACGCACCTCACCTTGGACGGCACGTAGGGCAAGTTGATTGGCTACAACTCCTGGGAGATGCAAGCTCGCCATCACAGACCAACTTCCACAGCGCGTATACTAACACTTCTCCTTTTTGAAGTCTATTCCTAAGGAGCACGGCATCGCTGAGCCCCTTAGGCAATTTTATTGTCTCGCGCTCCAGGCCCTCCCAGGCTCTGACCTCTCAGCTCGGTGCACCATACAGTTCTCAACAGCTCCTATCCGATCACGCCTTCTCAAGTAGTCATGCTGCGCAGCCGCCATTTGCATCCAGAGCACTTCCTTACCGATCCGCAGCCATCTCCTATCGCCTCAATACCGCTTCTCCGCAATGATTGCCCCTCAAGAAAGGAACACCAACGTCCGGCTTCTCGCATGTCTCATCGACGACGACGACACGAACGATAGCGATTATCGCTTCCTCGTCGACGGGCAACATGTGAAGTACATATCCACAGCGCCAGGCACGTTTCGCGGGGCCGAGGACGACCGCACTTTCGAGCCCATCCTGCTTGGCGAGCTCCTCCCACCATTTCCAACTGGAGATTGGAACCACGGCTATGTAGCTAGGGATCCCGAGACGGGGAAGGCTACCTTCGTCAGGACCGAGACAGTACAACTTGCCGGGGTAAAGAACTGTTGGCATCCCTTGAAGCTCAACGAGCTGGAATTCACGCGTCAAGAGCGAGTGAGGCAACGAGTCCACGTCTCAACGCATCCCAAAGTTAAAGGCGGTAAACCCGTGCTCATCAAACTCGCGGTCTGGCCCTGGGAAATCCCCTCCATTGAGGTCGAGACGGCCGCCTATCAATGGATTAGTGACAGCGGAGTCGGTCCTAATTTTCTGGGCCATCTCACTGAGGGCAAAGATGGGCGCGTGGTTGGCTTCGTCGCTGAGTGGGTGGAAGGCGCGAGAGCCGCCGGGCCAGCGGACATCGACGACTGCAAGAAGGCTTTGGGCCGGTTGCATGAGCTCGGTATCAAGCTTGGCGATATCAACAGACATAACTTTCTTGTACGGGATGGGCATGACGTGGTTCTGGTAGACTTTGAGACGGCGAAGCGAGACTGTTCGCCTTTGGAACTCGAGGACGAGATGAGCACTCTTAAGAGCAGCCTTGAAGACACGAGTTTCCGGGGTGGGGTGGAACCGGCTTATGAATGACAGAACCAGGACATGCAAGCCGGCATTAGCTTGGGGGTTAGCGGGAGGTTAGCTGCACATATAACCAAACTAGACCACCAAATCCACCAGCATCGTCAGAATAAATCACCAAGAGAAATGTCGCTGGTCCGACAAGTCTCTTCTAACGTCTACCAACCCTTTTGCGCTTTCTTGGGCGATTTTTGAGGCGGACATCATTTGAATCAGCCCCGTGGCCTTGAAGAAGTCCACGGCGAAGCATCCATTTTTGCGACGTGTCTGGCGCGGAATGGAACCTTCTTGTTTTTGTTACCACTTTGTTCTAGAGATGTTAAAAAAAAAAACGACAAATTGTACAGAAGCAAATCTTGAAAGCAATTTTGCGTTGCCCGCATCCTCGATCGCGTTCTCTAGAGTTCTCTCCCTGCTGTTGTGGGGGTTGGTGGAAGAGGCAGAAGCAATGGAAGTGCTGGGGAGCCAACATCACCCAAACATCGTTGGGTACCATGGCTGCCATGTGCGACGGGGCTATATCACTGGACTCATGCTCGACTGACACCCCCATGACTTGAACAGCTACCTAAAGAGCGGCCACACTATCCAGAATAAAGAGCTCTTCATAGAATCACTGGAGTCGGCAATTCATCATTTACACTCACTTCGCTGGGCCCATAACGACCTCAACCCCACAAACGTCCTCGTGGCAAAGGACAGAAGTCCCATTTTAATCGACTTTGGCTCGGCTCGTAGGTTTGGGGAAAAGTTATCAACTAGCCGTGGTACCAAAGGTTGGATTATTGCGAGATGAAGGATTATACGACGTCAGAGACGCGACATGACACTTCAGCTCTCACCAAGTTTCGTATGTGGCTAGATAACCCAACACTCGAGGATTGAGTAACTGTGCTGTGCATTTCGAAGTTGGCAACCAAAAGCTTTACATGGCTGGATAGTGAAGATCAAATTCTGAGGCAAAGAAACATTGTGTCTATAAGATGATACAGCGAGAATTATCACTAGCCTCAGATGGAAGAAAGATATCTGGACAAAGTATGAGCTCAAATTACTCAACCCCTCATCTCTGCTATTGATCACCTAACTACCTGAGTGTTCGATGGAGACTACTGTAATTCGCTTAATGAGTGGCTGTGATCTTCCAGGTTGTACTCTTATATAAAGAACAACTCATCCTGCTATCTTTACCATCGCCATCGCAATCACTTCCAGGCCGTCCAAGCCATTGAATCGGGTGAGCATCGAAACGGTTAGGCAACGATTCCTTCCTGAAGAAGAGCCGCTTTCAATGCTTCCAGGGTCGAAAGAGGCTTCGAATCCTGGAAGACTCCGTGGGTGTTCTTCTTGGCAGCATACACGTCGTTGCCCTTGCAAGAAATAACCCCATCCTCTCCCACTTGAAAAAACCAACCCGTGATCATTTGTGCGGGCTCAAACCCGAGGACATCCTTCTGGCTTTTTCGTCAAGGAATAAAGTTTGCAGAAAATATGGTCGGGCTCCTGCTTCGTCATTTCCCGTCGCGTCTAATGATGTGTACAACTGATATCTATAGTCACAGATTATTGGCAAGGGACAGAGATTTCCCTTTTACGCAACCTCTGTCGAATCTAACATAACTCGAGTACAAGCTAAGCTGGATGAAACCCTTACGTTGCCCAAGCATCATGATCTTGAGACGGTTTAGCCCTTTAGGACATCCATTCTAGCGCTGCCGAATAAAGCAGATTGTATATAAAATACATCACATTAGTGGTGTCAGACAGGACATTTATTTTACATGAAGAGAGGGAAGGTAAAGGAGCAGAGAATAAGTTGTATACATCCAAATGGCGTGTTTTTATATATGATTTTATTACTTTGTCTAGGGTAGTCATATTATGACATGATGACTAAGTTGGATTTGCAGATCCAACTGATAAAGCCATTGCCCCTCCATCACGTGCACCAGGCTCATTTAGGGCAACGCTCGCCTCTTCTATCTCGTATTCCTTAAGCAACTCATCGATGTTCTGCGCGTCCGGGTCCAAGCCATTCTTCTCCCAAAGAAATTTGACCGACTCTCCAAGAAGCAATCTTTCAAGTGCCCTACCTGCTGTACAGAGGTTCCTCATATAATCATCATCAAGGAGTTTGTGGAATGTTCTGTTGTTTTCATCGCGAGTGACTGTTGCCCAGTCCTCTTTAGTAATTCCAAGAGCCTTTTCTGATTTCAAGAAAATAAAAGGCAGTAGTCCATCGTGCGACATGCATAGCGACGTCCATTTCCCTCCCTCTTGAAGATGGTGTTTCAGCCGAGGCCTTGTTAATCCGTGCTTGGCTGCAAGTTCGTCGAGAAAGCCTGCCTTGTGGTTTTTCTGAGGGCCAACCTTTTCCTTTTCAGA